TGATGTAAAAAAAAAAAAAAAAAAAAGTGTTATTGTTACTTTTTGTGATAACAGTGCTATGATTTTGTTTTTTTAAAAAAGAGTTCATGGAGATGGGCAATAGTGGTACATGACTGTAATCCTAGCACTCGATGGAGAAGGCCGGAGGATCACCGTGAGTTTGAGGCCAGCCTGAACTACACAGTGAGACCCTGTCTCAAAAAAAAAGGCTCAAACCAGGCGTGGTGGCTCACACCTGTAATCCTAGGACAGGGGAGGCAGAGGCAGGAGGATTGCCATGAGTTCAGGGCCAGCCTGAGATACAAAATAAATTCAGGGACAGCCTGAACTACAATGTGAGACCCTGTCTCAAAAAACCCAAAAAAACAAAACCAAAAGAAATGGCTCCCAGGTAGTGAGCCAGAGCTGGATAGTTCCTGTGCTGCAGGCAGACAATGGCACGTTCTAGGACTAGAAGGGTGAGTGAGCCCTCTATCTGGCCTTAGCCAATCACAGAGTAGCACCTTCCATTCCAGGCCTTCTTTCTTAGAGATGCTGGCCTGAGGGCAGGAAGGCCAATGTGGAAACTGTTTTGGTCTTTGAAGATGATTCCATGGGGCTTCAAAGAGTGAAATCAGAACCAATGGATGCAAATTAAAGAAAGCCAGTCTTGTCTCAATATTCTTTTTTCTTTTTTTTAAGACAGGGTCTCACTATATATTTCAGGCTGGCCTTGAACTCACAATTGTAGCCCAGGCTGGCCTCAAACTTTGGTGATCCTCCTGCCTCAGCCTCTCCAGTGCTGGGATTACAAGCATGAACAACCAGGCCCAGCTAATCTCAACATTCTAAGAGCCTTGTCTGTTAAAACTGACAGGAATGGCAACAGCAGGCTTCATTTCAAAAGGTTCAAGATAATGGCTTGCTGCCTTCTTGTGGGGTTGCAACAGATTTCCTCCCAGAAGGGCAGGGCCTTTCCAGCCCCAAAGCTTTAGGATCTGCATGGGACTAACTCAAGTTCCCTAAAACAGATGGTTGCCCATCCCCTTGCTAAAGTGACTCTACATCATCTTTTCCTTTCCCCTCAGGGCCAAAACCCACCTCACCGCCTCTTATGTGCTCCTTTCCCTCACCCAATTCTAATCCACAGTGCTTCCTTCCAGCTCTCAGCTCACACCCTCCAATATGGTCTGCTCTCTGCTACCACAGAAGGCCAACCCTTCCTCCAACAAAACAAAACACAAAGATTTCTTATTGCCCACAGGATGAAAACCTGCACTCTTCAGCTAGGCATCTACAGTTGGCCACAGCTGGCATCAACCGCCTCTTGTGCCTCTGATCACACCTCCCCAGGCCACCCCCCATCACCCTGGGGTCTCAGCCCTGCCTGCTCTCACCCTGCGTCGCGGCTTATAGAGGCCTCCACAGAGCAGATGATGCATTGCCGCATCCTCACGATCCCGGCCACTGCGTACCGTGTCAATCACCTGTAGATCCAGACATGCTCCACTGCCACTTTCCCTCCTGCAGGAAGGAGGTTCATGTGTGCCGAGGCGGAGGAAGCCACAGGGCAGGAGAAAGGCAAAAGCAAAGTTGCTGACATATCTTTCCCAGAAGAGATTCAAGGAGAGGGCCAGTAGAGAGAAGCTTGGGGAAGGGAAAAGGACTCAATGAACTCACAGCAGGTTGGTGACAGATGTCTCTGCCACAGAATTGCGGCTGGGCATAGAGGGCAGAGTGAGGCCTGTGGAGGACAAGACGTGGCCTCCCTGCGGGGTCAAGACCAAAGTCAGAGAGCAATCAGATGGAGGATGGCCCAGACAGCCAGACGGTAAATAACAATAAAAATAACAATAACTTAATTTGCTCTTTTTATATACTAGATCCTGTAAAAATATTTTACATATCAAATCTACAAAATCTAACATAGGTACTGTTGTTCCTGCTTTCTTACAGCTGAGAAAACTGAGTCTCACATAATATAAGTGACTTACCCGAGGTCACAAGCCTATCAATGCTAACACTTGACCTGCGTCTGCTGACTGCAGAGTCCAGCTCTGTTTCCCACCTTTCTGTACTATCTGGCAGATTCTCAATATGAGCCCCAAGCTAGGCTGGTTCCTGCACCCACCTATGGAGCCAGCTGGGAATTCGCAACTCACTGCTCCCTGCTTACAAGCCTGTCTACCTGTTGTCCCTGTCCTGCTCCACTGGTCATCTTCCCACCCACCACTGGCCCACCTGATCCACAAAGCTGATGGCATCCCGGATGTTGAGTCTGTAGTACACATCCCAGATCTGGTCCCGGATACGATAGGCTGACCGCCGCATCAGCAGTTGACTCAGGTACTTCTTGTCAAATTGCTCCCACCTACAGAGGATGCCAGGCCCAACCCTGAGTATCACCCTCAAAGTCTGGCTGGCTGGCCCTTCCTTTCATTAGGCAGGCACATGACCAGCACTGACCTGGCTTTTCTGGTATAGGTCTTAGCCAGGGAGAATCTCAATGCTAGTCCCTGGTCTTATGGAGTTTACAGTGTTAAGGGAAAGCCTGACATTAATTAAAGTTATTATGAATAACTGTAAAATTGCAACCATGACAAGAAACTACCAATGATAATCATGGAGTATTCAGGGATTTGTCCTACTTGGAGGGGTCAGGGAAGCCCTCCCTAAGAAACTGATGTCTATGATGAGACCTGAAGGATGAAAAGAAGTGAGAAGGAGGTAAGGGAGAGGTCTATCACAGAAAACAACATGTGCAATGTTGTTCCCAGTGGCCAGGTTGAGGGACCATGGTGGGTCCTGAGGCTCTGAAATAGGGTCAAGTAATTAGCAGGTAGAGCAGAGCACAGTGGGGCTGGAGTCTGGCAGGTACCGGACCATGCAGGGCCAGGAAGGCCACAGTGGGGAGACCTTTCTCCTCCTAAGAACACTGGGATGCTACAAAGGGCTTCAGGCAGAGGTCATCCAGCCTGAACCTGGTGTGTCCCTTCTTAGAAGGGTGGCACATCCCCCATGCTGCCCTGGCTGGTGGGGCTGCTGCTGCTGAAGGAGCCTCGGGGCAGCTCCCTCACCTGTCCCTCCAGTAGTGGTAGCCATGGTGCCCCACAACGTCCTCCACTGCAGCCAGAATGTGGTCAAAAGTCTAGAAGGGGGGTGGGTAGGGGGACTGGATCAGGACTCTGCCAAAATAGGAGAAGGGAGAGAGGGACAGGTAAAGGGATGGGGTTCTGGTACCCACGTGCTCATGCAGCTCCTGGTTCAGGGTAGGTTTGTGATGCTCACTCCTCTTCACCTTCAGCCACTTGACCAGAGGCTTGATGGTCAAGCCCTATGGACAGGCAGGAGGTGAGCCCTGCCCTGTTCAGTCTCTCTTCTATCCCCACAACTAGGCCTCAGCTCTGTCCCCCCATCCCACTGCACACAAGGTCTGGGAAGTCAGGCCCATGTTTCCCCCAACAGGAAAAGAAGTCCCTTTCCCATAGGCTCCAAGATCCCCAGGGCCTCCTGGACCCTCTCCCCACCTAGTTTCATAGGCACTCCCACCTGCACAATGACTGTGAAGAAGACTACCACAATAGTGGTGGCCACAAAGTAGTCCTTGGCAGGGACCTTGGTCCTGTCCAGTAGGATGACGAGAGCAAAGGCCACAGCCCCCCGGAGGCCCCCATAGGACATCACCACCTGGTCAATCTTGTCCAGAGGGACCAGCCGGAACTGATTCAGCACCCACGTCTGCAGGACTACGCCTACAGCAGGAGGGAGGCCAGCAGGAGCAAAGCATTGGGAACAGAGGACACTGGGAGTGGATGGTACCAAGTATCTGGGCTAAGGTAGCAGGAGATGGGAAAGATGAGCAACAAGGGGAGGGAGGATGAGGAATTGGCAAGGCTATATAGATTCAGATTGGGAGATAAGCTGTAGGAAGAGGGGGGATGGGGAGGACAGTGGGAAAGCAGAGGGTACCAGCAATACCAAGGGCTCGGAAGAACAGGATGAAGATGAGGGTGCCCAGCACCAGCCCGGAGTCCCAGGCCCATTTAGATGAATCCACAGCTGAGATGCCAAGCAGCATGAAGATGACAGTCTCAGCACAGCTGGCTAAGGTCTTCATTGTATATTTGACAGCTGTACGTGATTTATGGGAGATGTTGGCCTCCACATACTTCTTACAGCCCAGGCCGCACATGGTCACCCTAGGAGAGGAACAAAGATAGGGCAAGTGAGGGGGCAGTCCCAGGAGGCTGAGCCTCTGGGGTTTGAGCATGCTTGCCCATCACAGTGTCAAACTCTCAGAGCCAAAGCCCAGGGAGACATGGACACTGCTAGTTAGTGGTGTTCCTGGGATGAATTTAAATCTCCAGACTTCCCACTCAGTGCCTCCTGCAGGGGGAAGGGAAAGAAACAAGCTCTGACTAGTAGACTCTGAGGCACCTTTTAGATATAATGGTCACCATGGCCAGTGGTGCCAGGTCTGAAGTTCACTTCTAGGTCAGCCCACACTTTGGCCAGATGAAGATTAGGCTCCCATGTCCCCAGGACAATTCTGGGTATCCAGACAGTTCTCCTAGATTACCTGAAGTTTACTGTTTCCCCAGAGACATCTGAGGCACTCACAATCATAAGGACTCAAAGAATCCTGTGGACTCCTGCGGGTCCTGTTTTTGTCTGTATTAGGGGTGACCACCTCCAGTACTCCCTCCCAGCAGCCTACCCACAATGCCGCCAGGACTCACGAAAGAATGGCGGAGAGCGAGGCCATTTCAGCAGTGAGGTAGGCTGCGTAGGCGAGGAGGAAGACCAGCAGGGGCTCGATGATGCGGACCCGCTTGGTGAAGCGTGTGGTCAGAGCCAGGAGGAAGGCAAAGACGAAGCCCACGGCTGCCCCGCCCAGACTGACCACAAACAGGGAGGCTGGGGAGGAGTGGGTTGTCAGCATGACCCTGGCCCAGACCCTTCCTGGGCTGACAATACTGCCACCCGGCAGGAAGTGGAGGAGGACACCCACCGCGACCGCCAGGATTTAAGATCCCAGAACCCAGGATCCCAGGGTAAGCCTTGCCCAGACCCCATTTCTCCACCCAAACAGCCTCTTCTGTACTGATGCCAGGAAAGTGGGACTCACAACCTGGGGGAGGCAGACTTCCAATGCCAGCTAACAGGGGGAAATACTGACCGACTCCCTTCAGGTAGTCAGTGGCCTGCACGTTGGCAGGCCCCATCTCCACAAAGGAGTTGCAGACTTTGTACAGCACCTAGTGAGAAGAGGAGATTCAGGAGTAAGGGGGAGGCAGTAACTGGGGCTGCTGGAATAGGGGAGAAGTAAAGACCCTATTTCTTCCCCAGGGGACCAGGAGGGTCTGAAGCTGCTCAGATGCACAACGAATCAGAGCTGGCAGCCTAGAGTCAGGGGATGGCTGAGCACTCTCACCACAGTGACTGCATCATTGAGCAGGGACTCGCCAAAGACGATGATAAAGAGAGTCTCATTGACGTGCACTTCCTCAAAGACAGCCAGCACAGCCACAGGGTCCACTGCTGAGATGAGGCTCCCAAAGAGCAGGAAGTCCAGCAGGCCAGCTTGTACCCTAGAGGCTAGAGAGAGAGATAGAGGAGGGGCCAGTAACTAGTGAAGGTGACTCTGTCTCTTGTGGCACTCCTGGGACTAGCCCAGATGCCATTCTCATTGATAAAACAGGAAGCTCAAACAGAACTTGGGAAGGTAAGGAGAGCATTGGCCTGATGGTCAGGAGTCTTCAGCCAAGCTGCCTATGCCTGAGGCATGGCTTTACTGCTCACCAGCTGTGTCACACGGCTCCGTCATTATCACATGACATCTTAGCCATGCCTCTTCATCTAACCTCACAAGATGACTGCAAAGAACAACCTAGGAGATGGCTAAGGAAGCCTGATATAAGCTGAAAAGCTAAAGTGGTGCTGGTAATAAAAACTGTAGCAACAGTACAAGTAGCTACCAGCAGGTGGAAATTGGCTGCTAACTGGCTTTATTAAGGAGGATAACAAGAAAGCTTTCTCCCACACCTGTCATTCTCAGCCAAAGCGATGTGACACACACAGCTCTTAGCAGAAGAAACAGACCTGAACACAGTATGAAAAACACAAGAGGGACTTGAACATGTTAAGAAACATCAGTGATGTGCTGTTTCTCCATGAGCAAAATGGGAATAACAACACTGTCTACCTCAAAAAACTATTTAGCCCAACAAATATAACCTACTATTAGAATTACTGCTAAGATCAGAATCTGAGTCTTCCATTCCCTTGCCCCAAATATTTCACTATGTTATTAGAAAAACCAGGTAGATGTCCCCAGATGTTAGAAATTTCAACCTTTTTTTTTCTTTCTTTTTTTTTGATACCAGGGATTGAACTCAGGATCTTACACTTACAAGACAGGCAGGCACAGTGCCACTGAGCTAAATCCCTGGCCCTCAAACTTCTTTTTACCTTGGAAAAACTTTGAATTATCAGAATCAGGAGTGAATAGATTTCTTGGGTCAGGAAACAAAGAAGGGAGGAGGAGAAGGCCTAAAGGCAAGGAGCTTTAGTAAAATGGAGGCTAACTTTGGGCCTGATATCAGGCAAACTTAATGGGCTCTACTTTCTCATTTATGAAATGGGACAAACTACATCCCAATAGGGTGCTGTGAGAAGTCAATGAGATAAGCAGGGAGAAAATGTCCATTGTAGTTCCAGGCATTTTATGGATGTATAATATGTATTTTAAAATATATATTTTTTTAAATAGGAAGATACCCTGACATGGCCTGAGCAGAATGAGGACAATAGGCCTTTGCAGAAATGGCGAGCTACGCCTCAGGGAGTAGGGCTGCCAAGTGGCAGTGTGGTAACACAGGCAGGGACACCAGAGTGGTAATGCAGACTCCTCAGCTTTGGCAGCCCACACACAGTTGGGAGCCAGACCCCTGCTCAGCTGTCATGCTGCAGAAGCACAGACTTGTCTGGCAGAGGGTTAGATGAAGGCTGAGGCCCATCTGGAACACTGCCTTGCACTCCAGGTGGGAGGGACCTAAGATGGAGCTCCCAGAACATGGCTCTTGCCAGCGTGGGATCTTCAGAGCTGGAGGAAAGAAAAGAGAGGAAAGCCTCCCTTTGCTAGCCCAGGTTTCAGGGTCACTTACCCACAAATCCAGCTTGTTGTAGGCCCCAGAGGGCAGCGCCTGTTGTGAAGGCATTCCAGAGTGTTCCCACCACAGCATAGGTGAGGATGGCACCCAAGTTGTCAAAGAACAGCCGACTAGGCATGAAGTAGCCTGAGTCAAGCACGATAGGAGGCAGCAAGAAGAGGAAGAAGGTGCCTGGCTCCAGCTGGTACTCAGCTTTCTTGGCCACAGCTAAAACAATGCCCCCTAGCACCAGGCCCAGCAAAATCAGCAGGCAGCTCTCAGGGACCAGAGATGTTACTTTCCGAGACAAGTGAAACACTACAATGCAAGAAGAAGGCAGCAGGTATGAGCTTAAGGATCACATATCAACAATAACCTCCCAGTCTTAGAAGGTTACCCTAAGTCAGAACCCTAACCCTGGAATGAGGACTGAAAAAAGGAAATTTGGAACATCTACAATCTCCAATTTCTAGCATTACAAACCCTCCACTGCAGCAAGATCTTTATTTGCTTCTTCCTTTCCTCATCCTTAGGGAACCTCATCTTCCTGATCTCCTTTCCCTAATTGTTATTTGAATGCTACTGGGTCTCATTCAAAACATAGCTGGAAAAATCAGATCCTCCAAAATTAGGATGCTTGGGTTCAAAGACTAAGTCTATTAACTTGTTCTATGATCTTGAGGCAAATAATTTTACCTGTCTGGCTTTCAGTTTTCTCACCAGCAAAATGGAAGTAAAAATAATCATGATTTCATAGGACTGTTGTGAGGATTAAATAATCTAGTTATTATGTAGCATACTGCTTTATGGTAAGCAGTCAATGGTACCTACTATGATAAATGCTGTTATATTACACACATAACATAGTGCTCCCCAAGTATAACAAATATTTTATCTTTTAAGAGCAGTATAGGCCTTCCAACCCAATGTACTTTTCATTAAATGGGAATGAAAAGGACTTAGTTGTTTTAACAGTCAGATCTCTACCTTCTTCCCACCTTATTCTGTGTGATCTCAGGCAAAAAAAAAAAATTTTCCCCCAGTACTGGGGATCAAACTCAGGACCTTGTGCTTGCCAGGCATGTGTGTCCCCACTAAGCTATATCCCCAGCCCCAAATAATATTTAATTTATGTATAACTGACAATGTGAAATAGGAAGAAAAGGGCTAAAGGTGTAGTAGAAGTGGGAAGGGTAGGGGAAAGGAAATAAAGGAAAAGAAAAAATATGAGAAAAGGAAAAAAAATAGAAACAATCATTGTAAATAGGGGAGGTTGGAGGAGCTGAAGGGAGGACAGGGGTATGGGGAAAAAACGAGAACCAAGATCTGTCATGTAAAGGTACAAGATCCCAGTGATGAATGTAACGGTACTGTATACTTAAAAAGAGTATCAATAAACTCAATGAAAAAAATTATTTAATTTACCTGAACTTCAATTTTCTCTTGTTATTATGGGAAAAATATCCATCACAAAGTGAGGCTAAAATGATATAAAGTGTGTAAATGTGCCTAGTGACAGGCACAGAGTAGGTTCTCAACAAATGTTAATTAAGTATGATTCTGGGGAAAAAGAATAACAAAAAGAGAATGGGCGGGGGGATGGTTTCTAGCACTATTTCTTGCCACTCCTACCTTTGCCCCCTAAAATACAGATCTCTCTTGGGGCCTCAGACTATAAATAAGCATATCTCACCCTACCCAATCCCTAGGGTGCTGTGGAGGAGGTCCCCTGTTAGTGTGTATGAGAGCCTATGCCAAGACAGTACCCTTTGGCAACTGTACCCAAAGGGCCCACCTAGAACTGTGCCTGGCACACAGTGGGCTCTACATAAACATCTGTTGAATAAAAAGAGAGGGATCTAGAAATGAAGCTGTAGGGGTTCCTGAATATTCCACCTACATTTCCCCTCCTCTTTGAGGGTTCTTTTCCTTTGCCTGGTAAGAAGGAGGCTCTCTTCTTCCTCCTAGGTGTCACCCAAACTAGAAAAAGTACTATAGTATTTGGGGGAAACTACAGTTGTCACTATAAACCCTAAGACAGGAACTCTCCCACAACTCACAGGGTTCTCAGCAAATATAATCCTTAGCTCCAAATCTGAGGCTGTTCCCACTTTGGTCTCACTGCTCCAGGGCCTCTGGGATGAGCTCAGCCAAACAGTACATTCATCCCTGCTTTTGATGTCCCTTCCTCTCCTTCAGGGACCCTACTTCACCCTTAACTCCTCAGCATGCACCAGCCCTGCAACTCAAGACATCAGAAAAGCCAGCTTTCTGGCAAAATCAGGCTCCCTGAAGGCATTTTGAGTCCTACTTTCCATTATTAATCTCCAGCAGCCAAAGCAGAGTGGAAAGTTCTGTTTCTGCTGAGGCTCCCACCAGTAAGCAGTGTCTGGGAGAGAAGGGGGCAAATTCTAGGCTGTGGGATTCTACATGAAGGCTGTATTGGTGAGAATGGAGTACAGGCTGTGCCAGCATAGATGGGGGGGTGAGTAGCAACGCTCAGCTATAATTAGTCACCCCCACAGCAGAGCCTGCACAACAGGGAGGAGGAGGGTCTCTGGTGGGAGGAGGGACCACTGGCTGATCAGACAGGGAGAGGAAGGAGCAGAAGCAAGGAAAAGCAGCTCTGTTTAGAAAAAGCCTGAAGGAAGCATAGCCTTCAGCATTGTGAGGACTGAAGGAGGTCAGGCACATAAAAGCACCTGGGGGCAGGGGGAGCACCAAGGGTGGGCAGCACACAGTGAAGCATCAATAAATGAAAATGCTCCCCCACCAGTGCTAAGGATCAAACCCAGAGCCCTGCACATGCCAGGCCAGTAAGCTACATCCCTAGCGCCAAATGGAAGTTTCTTAAGCTCTGAAATGAAAGAATGTGAACTCAAATAAGGGGGGAGGGTCCCACATGTAGGTACAAGAAACTGGCATCTGGAAGTGGGATGCAGAGGTGAGGTAGAAGGAAACTGGCAGTTTAGTATCCCACGAGAATACACACTTAGACCTGGGTCTCCAAGGAAGGTTGATTGTTCAGAATCAGGATGCCTAGGTTTCTGGAGACTACCACCCCCTAGGTGTCCCCACACGTCCTCGCCTTACTGCTGATAGAGCTTTCTGGGAGGCCGGGCATTGGTACGGACAGGCTGGACTGATGAAGGCCCACTGCAAGGGGAAGGAGGGAAGCAGAAAGGGCGAAGGACCCCAAAGATGGAGTTGAGATGGGGGAGCCCTTTAAGAAGGCAAATTCTCAGAGGTCCCACGAGGGAAAAGGTGAAGTGGGAGACCCACGAGAGGAGACGCAGGAACAGGGTGACAGCTGGGATTTGTGGAATCAGAGCCTAAATTCCAGCACTGTGCAAGAAGCTGGCCCTGATGGAGACCCGGGATTTGGGGACAGGTCTGCTGCCGGCCCCTGGCCTGGCTCACGCAAGCACACACGCACTCACCTATTTTGGCCAGGCTGGCCACCAAGATCCAGAGGGCCACCAGGTAGGGTGCCTCCACCTCGTGCCACTGCCACCGGAAGAGCGCCAATCCCGGGGAAGGCTCACCCAGAGCCCCAGGCTCTTGGGTGGGCTCTTCGGCCGCCACCGCCCCAGACAGGGCTAGCAAGAGCAAAGGCAGTGCAGCGCGCAGCATTTTGCAGGCTGCCTCGCCGTCCTCCCGGCACTGCACGGCCGCCAGCCCCGTGT